CTAAATTAAATATAATGAACTACTTATATGAAAATAGGGTTCTTGTGTACCTGTCTCTTATACACATCTAGATGTGTATAAGAGACAGGAGGTATAGGAACGGAAGTGAAAACAAGACACAGACACGAACAGGTAGCAGAAGTCGAAGATTAGGCCGATAAAGATAGGCTAGATTAGATCCCATGGACGCAGGACGCCACGAAGCGGATGCCCACGTCTCAGGCACCCATGACACCTCATAGGGCCTCGCAAAAAGAGGAGGCACGCACGCAAGTTACAGACACAGAGGGTGAAACGAGGGTGGGTAGTAAGAGGGTATCGAAGGGGCAGAAAGATGGAGAGGCATATTCGTCAGGCGACCCAAGACGCGTTACGATTCCCGATCTCGACGATAGCCTGTCTGGTTATCTCCGTCCCTCAAGACGTGCGCAGGGCGATATGACAACGGAACAGGGAAGACAGCAGAGCGGGAACGAAGACACAGGAGCGAGTGGGTAGAAGCAATTAAAGAGAGGAGCACTGTCGTCAGATTGCCTGCATGCCTGCCTCTGCCTGAAAGAAGGGCATGCATACGCACCCACCCCTCGCTCGCGCCAGCAGCATCACCGATTACTCTGTCTGCTCCTCATGGCGGGCACACCGGTCCCATCGTCTGTATCATCCATAACCACCGTGGGGGGATGGAAGGCAAGACGCGGATCGTTAAACGAACGAGACGGTGAAAACAAAGGGAAGACGAGGTGGAGACAAAGGCACACCGCACAGGACGAAGGGCAGGGGGAGGAAGGGTACGAGGAGGAAAGGGAAGAAAAGGAAGGGGATGAAAAGGAAAGGGAGGAAGAGAAAGGGGAGGAGGAGAGAAATGAGAGAAGAGGAAAACCGGTAAATGACCAGACGTCCGAACTCGCTGGTTAAGTCTCACAGCAAGGAGAGATGGTGAACTGCGTAAAGGTGAAATGGTCGCGCCTTCCCTCCCCCCTCCCTCTCCTTCAACGCCCACTGAGTCGGCTAGACAGCAAGAGCGACTTGACAACGACGGCCATTTGGATGATGCTCATGACCATGGCGGTACCGCACGTACGCGTACAACTGATGCATGTACGTGCTCCCGGCTACCCACAGATCGTCCGGTGTGTGTCTATACCTTCGACCGGACCATTGTCATCCATGCGCCCTCTCCCGGGGCAAGGTCCCACTTGCGCAAAGAAGGAGATTTTGGCCGTTGATCTTTGCTATCTCTTAATTCGTGCAAGTGGGACCTAGCCCCCGCCAAGGACTGACTTTAGGACAATCAGGCCTTCAAGAGACTTAAACAATTGACATGGAAAAATTGTGATCCTATGATGAATTATTCTATAGACCAGCAAGCCAATCACATGATTGATTAACTATTTAAGTATTTGCGATTAATTGGACGTGGTTCAACCGTGGATGCTCGAGAGCCGACGACTACCGTAGTTACAGAGCAAGTCTCTTAGCGATCGATCAATGTGAGCTCGCGTTTCGTTCCCGAACTAAGGTACAGAGAGCTGAATCGGAATGGGCAGGGCGAGGGAAGAGCGGAAGAACATATACCAGCCGCGGTTACGCGCCCGCAAAAAGCCATGCCCTACTACCGGTAGTAGTAACAAGGGGGGCGGGGGGGGGCGGCCTATCCAGTCCGACGAAGCCTGTGGACGCGGACCGAGATATGCTGACACCTACCGGTCGGCGACCGCACGGGACTGCGGACGGAAACTCAGCGTGTGGAAGGATCCGCACCTTGCGCTGGTGATGGCGCTGGCCCAAAGAAGCGCAGAGACGCCGCTCACGCGGAATACGGCCGGGTGCTTGAAGTAGAAATGTGAGGAAGGGCCAGTCAAGTTCGACACTTGGGTGCCACGAGAGGCTGGTAGGAATTGGACACCGGTGGGCCGGCCACGTCATCTGGGTCCTAGTAAACCAGTGGAACTTACCGCCGAAACCGAGTCCTCCTTCGAGTTCCAGGGCCGTGGAAACTGGGCAACCTCCCTTTTCTTCCCGTGAGCCCTCCTGTGAGTTCCAGAGCCATGAAATGATTGC